ACTGATTCCTTGCACGTATTTTCATTTGATGTTGTTTGTCTGAGATCTGCAGAAGCGACCCAGTTGTACGAGGACACAAACGTGCATGGACATCCACAGCGCGCTCTGCAGGCAGAACAGTCCAGGAAGCCAGCTGTGCTTTCGCTGTGACAACTAGCAGCATGATGATGGTCATGTTGGCGAGGGATGGCAGTGATTGGTGATGGCATAAGCTTTAATGTGTCTAAACTTACAGCAATGTTCCCACGGTGTGTGTGTGCTGGGTGATTCTATGAGCATGATCCGGCGGGTTGAGACAGGCTCTCTATGCAGATAGTGGATTGATTCATGGCAAGTCTCTAGTGTGCGAGGAGTTACATTCATCTTCGTCCCCACGGTATGCAGATGTTGTTAGCAGTGAAAAAGCTGAATGATTGACCGACTACGCCTTAGCTGCAGATGCCCGTCCAATGGATTTGGATCGAATAGATATTGGTAATGCCCTTAAACATTTAGGACGATCGGAGGATTCAGGAGCAGCACATCCACATCGCTTCTAGGAATGCGATAATTGGGGGTAAAGATCAGCACAGCCAAGCACGAGAGGCATACCGGACTGTGCGAAGTCTTGTCAACGAGTATGGAATTGGAACTATTCACCGCAGGATGCAGATATATACACTGAAAGAAGAATCTGAACACGTATGGACATGTCCGGATTGCCATGAAGAAAACCCCTCATAACTCATATTCTGAGATATGGTTGTCTGTTTTGATTGTAGATATCGTCATTTATAATTCACGTAATGAGGTGCTGTCTCCGCAATGAAGGGTGACTGCACTAGATCAAAACTGTTTCTTTCTTTTTTCTTGTATGCTCTCTATGAACGCCTGTCTTTCATCTTGGTGTTATCCTCCCACGTATCGCTGTGTACCTCTTACCTGCCTGCTTTGAATTTTTCCCTCCATTCAATCAGTCAGTCAGCAGGTTTTGTATACTAGTAGCTCTCTTCGCGGCACGCCTGAAAGTCTCTCTTTCTCTAGCCGATTACCCAGCGATATATGCTTTCATAGCAAAAGCATCTTCCATGTCCTGTATCCTCCTTCGCGGTAGCCGGCCTTTGATCGCTGTCTACCAGCTTGAAACTTCCGGGTGTTTGTCGCTTGTGTGATGTCCTGGTGGGGTACAACTTACCTACCTTTCCCATCAGTAAAAGTTAATAGGAGTTTATGCTTTTTTAACGTTACCAAAAAGGGTGCACTTGTCCATTTTTTTTTTAAATTTATGTCAGCAACCTTTTCTTCTCATCAGTAGTCTGCCCGGCTCTCTAGCGTAGTTGGCTAAACCGGATTGCGCGGAGACCGGGTGACGAACTGCTTGTGGTCCGGGTTCAATCCCAGGGGTAGGCAGGAAAGCCACATTTTCTCCCAGATTTACAGTATTTACAATGGAATCAAGGCCGAAAGGTTGCGATATCCATAATACCGAGCCTAAGGGTTAACAACTCATGGCTTCTGGATACTAAAACAAACAAACAGTAGTCTCTTTAAAACCTTTATATTTGATTGATTCGCGAAACTCGACCGATTCTTCTACCTGTCCACATTGCTAGGGCTTTAACTCCACTTTACAGTTGCTTTTTTAACGAAATACTTCGGCTACAGTTAAGGATACAAAACCATGCTTGGTGGAAAAGTTGTAGGCGGGACGGCAAGAGGTAGACAACGATACAGGTGGGAGGATAACATCAAGAGATGGAAGAAAGGAAGTCTGAGAGAGTGTACTACCAAGTCAAGAGACAGAGAGTGTTGTAGATCCACTGAAGCCCACCTTCATTATGGAGAAAGTCCCTGAGTGAGTAACTGATTCATTGTTCATGCGTGAATACAATTTAGGGAGAGTGCATTTATCTATAAGATACTAGCAAATCATTGGTTCAAATCCGAACAGAGCTGGGCTGTTTTGGGGTCATGTCTACCCAGCCCTAAACTGGTACCAGGTCAAGTCCTTAAAATGTAAGCGGGCGGCGAGATGTTGACCACATCACCCACAGAGTGCCGATTGGTCTATAAAATATAAGTGTAGCCTTTTATGCGCAATACGGACATGACGATTCCTTGGGTGAGCCCAGTACCAGAGCACCATGTATTAGCTCTGCATTTGTGGAAGCCTCCTTGGATGGCGGGGAATGCTCATGTTCTGCCCCTGCCTTTTCTTGAGGGCTGATCAGCATTATGTGGCTTCTCTGGACCAGCCTGATTGGGGCACCACCTGTGACCTGGAAAATAAAGATGACCACACAACAACGAGACTGCCATGTCCCCAGAAACTAACCCGGTCAACAAATGCCCGCAGAAGTCAGATGTGTTGGCCGAAAGGTGCAAATATCGCAGCCATGCTGTAAACGGACACAACGCAATTACATCTTCGGATGAACGCAGAAGAAGAATATGCTCAATACGCCCGACGACGTGGAAAATGGTCCTTTTACTATAGGCCCAAATTTGTCAGAATGAATAGAAAAGGGTCCTTAATGAAAACCACGCAGAGATCTACAAAATACACATGGGAGTAAAGACAGCGGCAGAATGCAGACAATGGTGGGATGAATCTGGTAATCTGGTAATCCTAGTTTCAGCTTTATAGCAAACGGGTCACCCCATAGATGCTCCGCTCCTGTGCCAACGAAAAACACACGTAGCTCACAGTGTCACGCCATGCTCTCAACTCAGAAGCTGGGCGACGAAACTATATCCTTCCAGTCTACAAATGGAGCAAAAATGCAACGGTCACCGTCTGGCAGGAAAAAAGGTGGCCGTGCCTAGCGTCCATTTTGAACTGAAGCATTATATGAGGGTTAATAAACGTTCACCCCAGCAGTACCCTCATTATTAGCTGGGGAAGGTACTTAGGACATAACATCCATCAGCAGGCGTCGCCCCTACAACGACCTGCCTGCCTTCGTTAACGACTGTTCACCTAACAGCCATGCAGTTCTTTGGCACGAAGGAGACACCTTAAACTTTGGTTTCGGACTGCCGACTCCCTAAAAGATGTTATTTTATGTTTTGTTATCACACTTGATGTCACTGCACATTGGGCATACCCATGCGTGATCAGTTCTCCGAAGCAGCAGCCACTCCAAAGTACTTCTACTAATTGTCCCCACGAGAAGCTGGTTATATCGTCTCCTTTCTCGGCCCCGAAGACGGCAAAGACGTGCATCACCATGCTTAACTCCCATGTCTCGCAATCGTGTTAGTGTTAGGGATTCCTCATTCTCCACTAGCCCAGTTCGTACAGCGTTGACGATATCTGCTCTGTCCATGCTTTTTTCCGCAATCATTGGTGAAGTGCTTGCCAGTTGGCCCGCTCGCTCATTTCCCTTTACGCCCGCATAACCCGATGTGTAGATCCAGGTTACGGAGGTTAAATGCGATTTCCGAATGCTTTCTATCCATTCAGAGCGCATACTGCCTGTTGCTATCTTCTGAAGCATATTCATTGAGTCTGAGACAATTACTGCCGGTGTGGCGGTTTGCTCGGATACCCACGCTAAAGCTCTAGAAGCAGCGGCTATTTCCATGGTCATGCTTGACGTGGTTGTCTGGTAAGCGCTGCTGTCCTCATGTATTGTTTTCCCCATTCTTTGCGCTGTGTATGCCCATGCTGACCTTGATCCGCGCTTCACGGATCCATCTGTGTAGATGATGGTTTCTTCTGGGTCTGAGTGCTGATCTATTAGTGCCCTTACTTCTGTTTCTATGGCCGAAGAATTTGATCCCTGCAGTACCTTCCGAGTGTGATGACAACCTTAGAGATGCCATTCATGTCTACTGGTGTATTTGTCCGTTCTTTTCCATGACTGATCACGTCTAGGTCATATACCTGCTGGATTAAATCCTCAGCCTTTGCCATCCAAGAGCGGCCTCTTTTGAGATGCGTTCCTTTTGTGTCGTGTATAGCTTTGTGCAATGGGTGGTTAACGTCTGCCGATACCCTCATGTAAGCCTTGACCTGTGCCACTTTGTATCTGCTAGTCATCGTATGCAAACCCAGGACACAACACATGGCGTTGCAGAAGGTGTCTTTTGTGCAGCCGAGTATAAGTCTCATGGCCTCATTTTGTACTCGGTCCAGTCTTTCTAGCTGGGTTTTGCATAACAGTGAGGAGGGCAAGACCATACATAGTCAATGACGCTAAGCACAAGCCCTTGATAGAGAAGGAAAAGTAGGCGATGTTCAATATCAGCTGCTGCTAGCACCTTGAGTGCTGTCAAACCTTTCCTGGCTCTAAGTATGACGTGGGGTGAATCAATACCGTCTATCACGACAATACCTGATGATGATGATTGCTTCAGAATGTCTGTCCGATCAAGTGTAGAGGCTGGTGAACTCCAACTTCTATTTTGTTTAGTTCAACGCAATACTACATTCTACTACCTAAATGACCCCAATTATCTTTACTATAGTAATAACACGAATTATCTTTACTACAATAATGACACGAATTATCTTTACTACATTAATGACAAGAATTATCTTTACTACATTAAGGACACGAATTATCTTTAGTACATTAGGGACACGAGTTATCTTTACTATATTAATGACACGAATTATCTTTACTGCATTAATGACACGAATCATCTTTACTATATTAATGACACGAATTATCTTTACTACATTAATGACACGAATTATCTTTACTACATAATGACAAGAATTATCTTTACTACATTAATGACACGAATTATCTTTACTTCATTAGTGAAACGAATTATCTTTACTACACAGACACGAATTATCTTTTTTACATTAGTGACAGTAATTATCTTTGCTACACTAATGACAGGAATTATCTTTACTACATTAAGGACACGAGTTATCTTTACCACATTAATGAAATGACTTATCTGTGGCTGTATCTTTCAGATTACCGCCCCCTCGAGGCCTGGTCGGGCCACTGTCACCAAACTATGCCCTCTACAACGCGGAAAAACTCCACTACCGCCGGATTATGGGACCGACATCGTTTGCATTTCTCAACGGTAAGTGTGTCTTCTGTCTCCATCATACTCTTTCTATTCCCCCAGCTCGCACTCTATCTCTTACTACTTATATACCCTCCGACCTCTATGTTTTCCCATCTGTTTATCCAAATCTTTCAAAGACAGATAGGGAGGTAGAAATAACTTAATTTATATATATATATATATATATATATATATATATATATATATATATATATATATATATATATATATATATATATATATATATATATATATAAAACAAAACAAAAAAAAAAAAAAGATGCGAAGAACGATAACGAAGAACTAGGGAGTCCAATACATTCTTTATTTAGTATTCTTATGAACAGTCACCTGTCGATTCTGCTGTCTGTTTGACTGATTCTATACAAAAGAAATGTTACATATTTTAAAAGTCCTGAAGCACAGGCACCGGAAACTGTAGACCATAATTTTTAGGTCATAAAACCCTTCTTTTCACACCCTGTATAGGCGTCTTGTTTTTATTCATACATTTCAAAAACATATAAAATTGTGTGGCCATTTAGTACATAATAACATAAACAATAATAATAAAAATAGCAACAATAATAACAACAATAATAGTAAATTTTAATGCACAAATAAACGATGCTAAAGCCCCTTTGTGGAACCCCCCCCCCCCCCCCATTTATTTTTTCTTCTCCCCTTTTCATGCGTTATCTTCGAGGCGGCGTGCCTGTATTGACATACACTCAAGTAAGCCTTTGTAACTGTCGCCACTTGGCTGGCTCGTCCAGGTGACCAACAGTCTTACTTCACAAGGTGTTACAGAGTCCTCGTGGCTAGAACCAGTGAAGCAGACAAGAGCCGCCAAAAAGTCTTCCACGGGTCTAGCCGCGAATCTGTAGGATGAATATGGTGTTCAGGGGATCGTGGCTGGGGCTAGAGACGTGGTAGATGATGGCGTCAGGGCTGTTGGCAACTCTCATTAATTACCAAGGGCAGTAGAAATCGGATACCAGCAAAAACTATGGTGTCAGATTGTTTTAACTGTTGGGTGTTGCGATTTGCTCTTGTTATTGCTGTTTGTGTTACGTTAATAAAGTATCTGTACATCATCATCACGGGCCGTACCTGTGAGCGTAGGCTATCATGTTTCGCATTTCTTACACGCTCACCAGAATCGCAGATGAAGTCAGTGTACTTGTCTCGTTCATTCGTGTGGCTAAGCCATCCATGTGTTTATTTCTTTTCCTTCCCCTTGCCCTTTCCTCCATCAGTCTTGTCATTCGTTACCAAGTTTCGAGTCCATTCCCTGTCCTTACATGCCGGAAAAACACAGAATATCTACGTTTTATTTCTTTATCCAGTTTACAGTTTTCGTCTGTCACGATGAGTAGGTTGTGAAACCGCGAATATTCTTACCATGATGAAAAAAGAGTAGTTTGCCATTGCTATCTTTCTTGACAGCGACCATACTAGTCGGGTTCCCGTAGCGATTGCCACTACAAAGTGATTCCCTGCCTACCGCCGGGGAGCTTGAGGCCATGGCCAACCAACCGTCATCTGCTCTCAAGCCAGGTCCACCACCTGCTCCCATGGTTTCCAATTATCGAGAAGAGGGTGGGGTGGGGGAAGGGTGGCTATTACCTTGCCCAAGGGTGTCACGTAGGCTAGCAGGGAAGAGGGAGGAAGGGAAAGGGGGAGAACCCTCCCCCCCTCCCCCGCCCCTTTCTTCTTTGATTGTTACTTCTTTTGTGATAGTCTCGATGAGGACTGATTCGTTCGTTTTTCTATCTTCTTCTTCTTCTTCTTCTTCTTCTTCTTCTTCTTCTTCTTCTTCTTCTTCTTCTTCTTCTTCTTCTTCTTCTTCTTCTTCTTCTTCTTCTTCTTCTTCTTCTTCTTCTTTTTCTTCATAAGACTACAATGAACGCACGCTGATTGAAAAAACCATGTGAGAGGAAATAACAAGTGCAAAGTTGTCTCAACTGATAATTTAAGGTGGGTCGACAAGAAAGGACGTATGACAGGTAAAGTACGACGTGGGGTAAATTAGTGTACTGTTGGAAGAATCGGTCTACTCCTGCTATGGGAGAGCATCATTAGGTATGCTCTGCATGATTTGAGATCGTTTCTCAAAAATGTAATTGCAGGGATGTTGGCTGCCTTCACTTTTGCTGGATTCTATCATGGCTTCCAGTCTAGGGGTCCCACATTCTAGCTAATGTGACCTTGTCGCACACACACACACAGCTACCAAACTGAGTTTAAACACAACTGTCTACTATCAACAACGCAGAACAGCACTCAGATTGTGGTGTAAATTCGGCAGTTTATTCCTCCCGATTCTTACAGTTGATTCAGGCACAGCCATCACTGTTAACTTTCCTACAATTGTTTCCAAAGAGAACTCCAAGAACTTACTACAAAATTAGAGATAGTCCGTCGCGAATATGGTTGTAAATTAATGCCGAGAATGGCCAGATTCTTGTAAATAGTCACAAATATCTTGGCTCCCACATATGCAACAATGGCAGCTGTACCAAAAAGATCGAGACAAGACTTGATATGGCAACAACCGTGATGTCGCAGCTGAATACAATGAGGAAAAGCAAAACCAGCATCGCAGTAAATGTCAATATTTACATATCTCTGATATTGTCTATTTTCTTATACGGATGTGAGAAGTGCACTCTGACTGTGGAAATGAAAATCAGGATTCAGGCTTTCGAATGTAAATGCTACAGACGCTCCTCCTGGTGTGCAGATTCTATTATTGCTCATGTCAACCCTTCAAAGGCCTCAGTGTAACATGGTTCTCCTTGAAGACGCATATAGTGCAGGCAAACTTACCAGCAGTGAAAAGCAGCGAGGAAATTTTGATGAGAACAAATCTGATGACATGCCTCGGAGTGAGGTTTGATCGCTGCCTATCCTTCAAAGAACATGTTGACCATGTCATAACAAAAGCACGCAAAGGCCTGTCAGCAATGAGGGCCCTGGCCGCAGTTAACACTGAGCAGAGACTGCTTCTGCTTCTGTTCCAGGGACTTGTACTTTTCCCCCATCGAATATGCTCTTGCCATCCTTACTGTCAGCCATACTCAAATTGAAAGACTTGATAAGGTGTAAAATGAAGCAATGCGCGTTATTCTGGGGTGCACTGGATACACCTCTTGTGTAGCAGTAAGGTACCTTCTTGACTTCCCTACCATGAACTACAGGATCAAGATCTGGAGGGCTCGTGCATACCTCAAGATAAGCTCAGATCTGAAGCGCCCTTTGCACCACATGCTCTTCAAGAAAAAGGGCAATTGGTTTAAAACGGGCAAATCATGGCTAGGTAGGGCAGAGGATGACATCATGGATACCAGCGTCTAAAGCGCCAAGTCTCACATTCTCTTGTGTCGTGACGCTCAATAGGGGTTGTCGGGAGCAGAATCCAGCTGCTGTCAATGCCGAGTTTAACGCGCTATCAGTGACAAGTCAGATGTGGTGATCTTTACAGACGGCTCCGTTATACGAGGACATAAGAGTGCATGGGCTCGCTCTTCAGGCAGAACAGTTCACGAAGCCAGCGGTGCCTTCTACATGACCACCAGCAGCATGACGATGGAAGTGATGGCGGTGATGCAAGTTTTCATGTGGCTAGAATCACAGCACTATTCCCCTGTGTGCGTGTGCTGAGTGACTCTTTGAGCATGATTCGGCGAGTCGAGGCAGGCTTGTTACGCAGACAGTGGTTTGAGACATTTCAAAACTCTCATGTGTGTGCAGTTACTTCATATTCGTCCCAGGGTATGCAGTCGTTGTTGGTAATGAAAGAGCAGATAGACTGGCAGGTGCTGCATTAATTGAAAATGGCCGGCCCATGGATCACGCAGACTGTGATTGCCCGTAGAGAGATAGAACGTTCTGAGGATTTGGGAATTAACGTGTCCACATTACTGCTAAGAATACGCGAATAGGGAGTAAAGATCGGCACAGCCAAGCATGAGAAGCACACCGCTTGTTAACCAAAATAGGATTGGCACTATTAACCGCATGATGATGATAAATATGTTGAAATGGAAATCTGAGCTCCCATGGATGTGTCCGGAGTGCTGTGAAGATAATCTAACTCACTCAAAACTTACAAACGCATTTTACGAATTAGTTATTTAGAACACAAAACTAATAAATTTGTCAGAGACAAAATATACAAATTTGCGGGACATCAGGAGCCTCTCTTGGCTGTGGTGAAACGTCGCAAGCTAGCTTGGTTTGGGCATGTGGTGAGACATGATTCGATTGCAACGAATAATTCAAGGAGCATTCGGGGGTAGTCAAAGAAGAGGATGGTAAGGAAGAACTGGAATGACAATATCAAGAAATGGACAGGATTAGATTATCATACACTTATTCATCAAGTGGAAGACAAGAGAAATTTGCTTGGCTTTATGTGCTAGTGCTTCTATCAGTACACCCTCACAACCCTAATGGTTCAAGGATTATGATGCGTAATCCGACAATAATAATTCAAACAACGTTTAGAATAGTACACTTCAGTTATACTACATCGACTACATCACTGCCGTCTTTTGCGACCTCTGGGACTCTGGCCAACCGCTGATCTTTTCTCGTTCGTCTCTTTCTAGGGCCTCGCACGCACCACAAACCGGCGACGAGGTAACCTTTAGTCCACTGCCGGGGGATCTTATAACCACAGTTGTTAGGGTATGAGTATGGATTCGGAGTAACCTGGAGTCCTATATGGGGTGTAGTTAAGTAAGACACCCATTATTGCTCGATTTATTATTTGTACGGTGTATGAGTGGGTTCAACCCCCACCAGAACCTCACAACAAGCGATAAACACCCGATGACAAAAAGTGCGCCCATGTGAATGAGGAACACCCATGGAGAGGTCCCGGAAACTGCGTTCAGTCCTTAGACCATATTTATGGCCGGGCTATATTGCTGCCCCTGGCGAGAGTCAGGGTGGGGCTTCATAATAACGAAAAATTGCATCCCACCGGGAGATGACAAGAATTTTAACACGAGGACGGATTAGCAGTAGTAAATTTTACCCAACTTGGACATCACACTAGCGATAAACACCCGATGACACGTGGATCACCCGTGGGGAGGTCCCGGAAACCGCGTTCAGCCATTAGACCATATTTATGGCCGGGTTATATTGCAGCCCCTGGCAAGAGCCAGGGTAAGGTTTCAAAATAATGAAAAATTGCATTCAACAAAGGGGTGATGATTATATGATATAAGGCGGATTTATGAATTTAGTTTATCCCCGACAGAGCCTTAACGAAGATTCGAACCTGTGTCTCTCGCATAAGAGTTTAGCGTTCATATCCGTTCAGAAACAGCTCGCCCATAACAACTACATCACATTTGTTTCAGAAGTGGCTACCCTATAAAAACTACATAAAGTAATATGCTTGTATCTCACCTGTACAAGACTATTGAGTTATCTCCCGCATGACACTTATTTACTTGTCTACCCTGTACTTGTCCCCCCTGTCATCCAACAGTTCTCTCGCGTATACAACAAGCTATATGTGCATGGACTGTCACACAAATATTGTCTCGCTTGTTGTTTAACGTATGCGTCTATAAATTATCTTACTTGGCAGTTAGAACCAACCCTAGCTAGGTGAGGAATTTAGGTTTAAATTGTGTTGCCTTAGTTAAAACTGTAAAGCCATCTGTCTTTTCCCCTAGAAACCATTGTCTGAATAAGGCTACCGTCGTCCCCTTGTTGGATGCAATGCTTTGGTATTTTGAAGCCCCACCCTGGCTTTTGCCGGGCACACTTAATATAGACGGGCCTTAAATATAACCGGGCCTATCGGCTAAAGGGTTTTTTCGAGACCTCTCCACGAGTTATCCTCATCCGCATGGTGGCACTTCGTGTCATCGGGTGTTTATCGCTTGTGTGACTTCCTGATGGGGTACAGCTTACCTACCTACCTACACATTTGCATAGACCGGGTGCCTTGCAGAACGCCACTCTTAACACCTGTTCACTGGAAAAACTCAAAGCCTTTAACCAAAAGACATCATTGCGACTGGCAGGAGTGGGGGTGGGGGGGGGGGGGCGCTATAGGTTTCACTATCAAAAAACGGAAAACCCAACGCAGCTCCTTTCTGGTGCAGGACAAAAGAGAGGCGGTCATCTTTAAACTGTCATTATGATGTCACACCGTGATGTCAAGTGTTTACAATCTTGATATCTTTCACAAAAATATTTTCATGTACTTCATGGAAACAAACAGTCAAAAAAGTTTTGGAAATACTGGGGGGAAAAAAGTTTAAAAAAAAAAACAAACAGAGACAATTGAAATATTTCGACCACACTGAAATGACACAAAACTATACAGCAGGGAAAGGTCGAGGGCAAGTGAGTAAGTGGTGGGCAACGATACAAGTAGGAAGATAACATCAAGAGATGAATGAACAGTAGTCTGAGAGAGTGTACACCCAGGACAAGAGACAGAACCCGTTAAAGATGCAAATCCAGTAAAATTTCATTGTGAAAACGGCACATGACTGAGTGATTGAACAACAATGGCGGGTTACAAGACAATGGCACGATGAGGCAATTTTTGTAATACTTTTAAGGTTTTCATTTGAAGCCATCTCAAATAAATAAACACCTGTGTCATCACCTGCGTAATCTTGTTTTCTAGGTAGTGTGTACACAGTGACAGCTGACAGAAAGGTCGTTGATATCGCCAGGTGCATCCCTAAGGTCATTGCCGATCTCACAACTCCCCGATGTAGTAAGTATCTGTAGCGTGTGATCGATACTTTTATGTACTGGATTGTCTTGTTATGGTCATCTGTCTGGCTTGAGAATCGGGTTCACACAGATGATCGATACTTTTATGTATTGTATTGTCTTGTTATGGTCTTTTGTCTGGCTTGAGAATCGGGTTCACACAGATGATCGATACTTTTATGTATTGTATTGTCTTGTTATGGTCTTTTGTCTGGCTTGAGAATCGGATTCACACAGATGATCGATACTTTTATGTATTGTATTGTCTTGTTATGGTCTTTTGTCTGGCTTGAGAGCCAGATTAACACACTTGTAGTTTTCAACAGACATAAAAAGCATGCTGAGATGTCCGGGCATGCTTTATACAGAATGGCAAGTATTGCTTCAGAGATCACTATCAGTCAGCGTCATTATTTTGTGCTGTTTTGTGTTGTTGTTAACAGTAGATTCACTTGTGCTGGGAGACGAATAAGCAGATACATTGGATGGATCTATACTGCCTCGTAGCAAATTAATGCATTACAAGATATATTTTTGTTAAGGCCCTTTAGGAAGCGAGTGAGCAGTGTGGACAAGTAGATCATCTCAGTGATAAAAGAACGGCGCAGCCAGGAGTGACCAGGAGATCCAGGCGACACTGAACTGGCAGGGGGACAGTAAGGCAAGACGTACACGGAATCAGACTGCTGTCGGCACTATTGTAGTACTAACTCTGCGGCGGCTGCTGAAGATAAGGACGGAGAGATTATAAAAATGTTGTGAGTGCTATAATGTCGGTTCTTAACTCAGCTCAGCTGCGAATTGTCAATCAATGATCGCTGCCATCTTTTAATTCCATTTATTATTGATTACTGAGGGCAAGACTAATTGTTTGTAGACACTGGTTCAATCACTGTAGGTTGTTTAGCTGTAATATGTTACGTGCGGTAACCAAAGCACGCCGTTTCTCAGTTTGTCCAGACATCAATCACTGTAGACACTGGTTCAATCACTGTAGGTTGTTTAGCTGTAATATGTTACGTGCGGTAACCAAAGCACGCCGTTTCTCAGTTTGTCCAGACATCAATCACTGTAGACACTGGTTCAATCACTGTAGGTTGTTTAGCTGTAATATGTTACGTGCGGTAACCAAAGCACGCCGTTTCTCAGTTTGTCCAGACATCAATCACTGTAGACACTGGTTCAATCACTGTAGGTTGTTTAGCTGTAATATGTTACGTGCGGTAACCAAAGCACGCCGTTTCTCAGTTTGTCCAGACATCAATCACTGTAGACACTGGTTCAATCACTGTAGGTTGTTTAGCTGTAATATGTTACGTGCGGTAACCAAAGCACGCCGTTTCTCAGTTTGTCCAGACATCAAGAAGAAGAAGAAGAAGAGGGAAGAGGAACACGAAGAAGAAGAAGAAGAAGCAGAAGAAGGAGAAAAAGAAGCAGAAGAAAAAGGAAGAAGAAGAAGAAGAAGAAGAAGAAGAAGAAGAAGAAGAAGAAGAAGAAGAAGAAGAAGAAGAAGGAGAAGAAGAAGAAGAAGAAGAAGAAGAAGAAGAAGAAGAAGAAGAAGAAGAAGAAGAAGAAGAAGAAGAAGAAGAAGAAGAAGAAGAAGAAGAAGAAGAAGAAGGAGAAAAAGAAGAAAAAGAAGAAAGAAGAAGAAGAAGAAGAAAAAGACGGAAAAGAAGAAGAAGAAGAAGAAGAAGAAGAAGAAGAAGAAGAAGAAGAAGAAGAAGAAGAAGAAGAAGAAGAAGAAGAAGAAGAGAAGAAGAAGAAGAAGAAGAAGAAGAAGAAGAAGAAGAAGAAGAAGAAAGAAGAAGAAGAAGAAGAAGAAGAAGAAGAAGAAGAAGAAGAAGAAGAAGAAGAAGAAGAAGAAGAAGAAGAAGAAGAAGAAGAAAAAGAAGAAGAAGAAAGAAGAAGAAGAAAAAAGAAGAAGAAAAAGTAGAAGAAGAAAATGATGATAATGATGATGTTAACGATGATAAAGGCAAAGAAGAAGAAGAATAAAATCAATGGTGGGGATGATGAACAAGAATTAGAGAAAAATAACAAAAAAAGTGTTTTGTTTGTTTGTTTGTTGCAAGTGTGGAATGTTTTCGTCAGCTACAGGTATGATGTTGGTGATGATGCCGATAACTGCTGTAGATATTGTGATTGTGCTGTTCCTGTCAAGTGTGGTAAGGATGTTATGGTGAAAATATGGTGATGATGGTTGTAAGTACAGTGATGTGATATTTTGTGAAGATGTGAGGATGATAGTGTCAGTTGAAGGAGTGCTGAAAACGTTTGTGGTTGTAGATGTAATGCGAAAAAAAAGAAAAACACACACGATGAGGATGGGTTTGATGCTTATCTTTGCCTTCAGGTGTTTCATTCCGAGCAAGCTATGCTTGCTGCTAGAATCATTACCATTGGCACTGCCTGTTATTTCTGTGAAATGCAGTTTCTTATATTATTGCAATTGTCTGGGTTTGTTAGATGCAAGGTAGATAACTGGCGAGTGGGTTAGAGTAAACTTTTTTAAGATAATTTATCTTCCCCTTGACAACTTATGACTGGTAGTCATTGACTCCTGCTCATTCATTGAAGAGAAGAATTAGACCTTTTAAACTGAAATGCGACAGAAAAATTCTTAGAATACGTGGACCAAGAAGAAGAAACACATCGACATCCTAGGAGATTTGAACATCGAGGAGAACTGGCCCATAAACAGCATCCCCTCCCGAACACTGAGGTATCTTGGTCAACAAAAGATATAAAACCGAACGAAAAGTATATTAGCATGCTTCACAATATAACAAATGCAAACAAAACGTGAGCGTTGCGGCTATGGAGCCTTTTTCAGCACAAACAAATCAAAAAATACTACACAGTACATCTTGGTCATGTTAAACGTCATGGCGGCCTGGAGAGAACGGGGATGGTGGGCGCAGTTTCAGGGAAAGGAGGCAGAGGCCCACCTCTGCGAATGTGGACACAAGATATTAAAGATGAACTGGTTATAAAAGCACAAAGAACTGGAGAATTGGCTGGAGAATGAGAGAGTTTCTGGAATGCCGTGACAAGAGCGACGTTCTGACCTGCAGATTGATGACAGTGATTATCGTTAAGCGCTCCAGCACACAGGTAACTGTCGGTTCTATGCCTTAGAGCGGTGTTTCCCAAACTTGTCTTAGTCGCGACGCCTTTTTTCAGTTCAGACTTTTCTTAGTCGCGACGCCTTTTTTCAGTTCAGACTTTTTCTTAGTCGGGACGCTTTCTTTCTGTTCAGACTTTTCTTAGTCGCGACGCCTTTTTTCAGTTAAGACTTTTCTTAGTCGCGACGTCTTTTTTCAGTTCAGACGTTTCTTAGTCGCGACGCCTTTTTTCAGTTCAGACTTTTTCTTAGTCGGGACGCTTTTTTTCTGTTCAGACTTTTCTTAGTCGCGACGCCTTTTTTCAGTTCAGACTTTTCCTAGTCGCGACGCCTTTTTTCAGTTCCGGACGAGGGTTGGACGCGGGCTGGACGACTTAGTTCAGTTTAGTGGGAGTTCTCTCCCTTGGCCGCACTCGAAACAGTGAGCGGAAAAGTCCACGAAACATACTTACCTATCATCATACGGTTGCGTGTAAGGTTGCGTACGCTTGCGTTTAGGGTTGCGTAGTCATCATACGGTTGCGTGTAGGGTTGCGTAGTCGTCATACGGTTGCCTGAAGGGTTGCGTTGTCATCATACTGTTGCGTATAGGGCTGCGTAGGGTTTGGGTTAGGGGTTTGGGTTAGGGGTAACGTTAGGGTTAGGGTTATGGGTTAGGGGTAGGGTTAGGGGTTAGGGTTAGGGGTTATGGGTAGGCTTAGGGGTTAGGTTAGGGTTAGGATTATGAGTTAGGGGTAGGGTTAGGGGTAGGGTTAGGGGTTAGGGTTAGATGTGAAAATTTTCACGTAGGAGGTCGAAATAGTGGCCGACAATCTGATGCTTGTGGAAGTGGCGCCACTGAAATTCTGCCAAATATGACGCCAATAGCGGGCGGCTGGTGCCCAATCGGTGGCGAATTGTCCGTGTCAGTAGCATCCACCGTCCGTCGACTGTTTGAGTGTGTATGTGACTGTGCGCGATTATAGGGAACTACGGCGTCAAAATTGTCCCATCTAACGCTAAACCTAACCCTACCCCTAACCCTAACCCTAACCCTACCCCTAACCCTTACGGCAACCCTAACGCTACCCTTAATCCTAACCCTAACCCTACCCCTACCCTTAACCACACAAATTTATCGGTCATTAAAACATAAAAATCGGCCCAAAAAAAAAAAAAAACCAGATATCCCCGCAGTGTCAAAAAAAAAAAAAAAAAAAAAACCAGATCTGGGGGACACACCCAAGCATTGGCAGCCCTGATGTCGACCTCACTGTCTTGTTTGATTCGTGACTTTTTCCGCTACTTGTTTCGAGTGCGGCCAAGGGAGAGAACTCCCACTAAACTGAACTAAGTCGTCCAGCCCGCGTCCAACCCTCGTCCGGATCTGCAAGGAGAGCCGAAGCTCCCTTTAACCGTAAGATTATATTGGGCCCCATACGGTCACACAGCAGTCTGACGTCTTGACCTGGCACAAACGTTAAACTGGTTCAAATCTTTTCCAGCCACAATCGCTACCTGCGGGTACTTGACCAGCATCAGAGTGGGACGGGACGGTCAGCTGTTGGTGCTCGACGCTTACCGGGGACTCTTCCAGGTCAACCCGATCACAGGTAAGGTTACTGCTGCTACTACTGCTGCTGCTGCGACTGTTGCTAATTCTACCGCTACTACTACTACTACCACCACCACAACTAGTACCACTTCTACTACTACTACTACTACTGCTGCTGCTACTACTACTACTACTACTACTACTACTACTACTACTACTACTACTACTACTACTACTACTACTACTACTACTACTACTACTACGGCTGCTGCTGCTTCTGCTACTACTGCTTCTTTTACTACTGCTGCTGTCACTGCTGCTACAACAACAACTACTACTACTACCACTACCACTACTACTACTACTGCTGCTGTTGTTGCAGCAGCTGATGCGACTACTGCTGCTAATGCTACCACTACTGCCTTACTGTTAATGCAACTGCTACTAATACTGCTCCTACTGCCATTACTACTGCTCCTATTGCTGCTACTACTACTGCTCCTACTGCTAATGCTGCTGATACTATTACCACAACTACTACTGCAACTGCTGCTACTACCGCTGCCATTGCTACTAATATTACGGCAGCTACTGCTGCTGCTGTTACTACTATAACTACTGCTACTACTATAACTACTGCTACTACTAGTATTACTGCTAATACTCTGTTGCTACTACTACTATTACTGCTGCTGCTGCTACTTATGCTGCTGCTGCTACGACTACTATTAGTACTGCTACTGCTGCTGTTACGACTATTCCTACTGCTACTGATACTGCCGTTGCTACTACTATTACTACTGCTGCTGCTGCTACAACAACTACTACTACTCTACTACAACTACTCTACTACTACTACTACTGCTGCTGCTGCTGCTACAACAACTACTACTACTATACTACTACTACTACTCTACTACTACTACTACTACTACTACTACTACTACTACTACTACTACTACTACTACTACTACTACTACTACTACTACTACTACTACTACTACTACTACTACTACTACTGCTGCTGCTGCTGCTGCTGCTGCTGCTACTACCACTATTACTACTGGATGTGATACCGCTGCAGCTGCTAATACTACTACTCCTGCTATTACTATAGCTACTAATACTACTGCTGCTGCTAATACTACTACTGCTGCTACTGCTGCTACTACTACTACTACTACTACTACTACTACTACTACTACTACTACTACTACTACTACTACTACTACTACTACTACTACTACTACTACTACAACTACTAGACATTATCCAGGTGTCCACATTTTCTATTTCAGTGGGTCCCACCTACCGTCTAGTTCCCACAACATGAATAACTGTCCTTTTGATATAATACTAACATGGGACAATAACCTTAGATAAAATCATGGTCGAGCCACTGCTGCAGACTTGTGGTATTCCTGTGTTGGGGAGTCACGCTTCCTTGTAAGTCTATCTCTTCCCTTTAAAGACCTGTCAGTTTATAACATACGGTTTGTAAAGGGGCGAGGAGGGTGTGGTTGGGAAGTGATGGGGAAAGGGGGAAGGGGGGGGGGGCCTCAAGAGAACATTTGCACAGGAAGGCGTGGTTGAGAAGTGGGGGAGGGGAGCCTACCTTAAGAGGTCTGAACTCCCGCCTAATATTTGACCAGGAGGTGAGGAGAGGGAGGATGAGAAATGGTGGGGGTGCCTAAGAGGACTGAACCCCCACCCAACATTTGCTTAGGAGGGCTTGGTTGAGAAGTGGGGGATCTATCTTAAGTGGTCCGAACTCCCACGCAACATTTGTCTAGGATCTGAGGAGGACGTGGTTGGGAAAGAGGGGTGGTGGCGTCGGGTAGCCCCCTTCACCTAGGTTAACTTCGTGGCGGCACGCCTTTATGAAGTATTTTCAATATCATCGATGGAATCCCGTCTTTCTCATTTTGTGTTCCTTGTCAATACCTGTTTATTGATTCTTTCTTCGTTTCCTCTTACGATCCTTTTAGTCTTTATACGTGATGATATTAGCGGTTGTCCAGGCATTTATAACAATTATATTTCTTTTTCTTTTTTTCTTTTTAAGTTTATTGCATTTAATTATTATTCGCCTGAGAGTGCATTTATAGGATGTGTGACCTACTCAACAGTGGTATAAAATATGTTGTAGGCGCAGTGAGGCAGCTGTATTCTTCAACAAATGCTATCGGTGGCCGTGTGCCCAGGTACCTGAACGATATGGTTCAAACCCCTGATGGGATCATTTTCATGAGCGATTCCAGCGACCGCTATGATGTCGCCAATGATATGTATATCATCATGTCAGGAGCACCTACCGGCAGGTAATCCACTGTTACTGGCGTTGACTTGTTTCATTGTCTGTCCCTGCATGGGGTCATTTAGATAAATTTAGGCTGATTATTGAAATACCACATTGCCCTTTAACGGCGGCTGCAGCAGCAGCAGCAGCAGCAACAGAAGACGAAGAAGTTTTATGATAACCATCTATACTTCTAGTTTGAACTCTAGCTGATGTACTGGCCGCACGAAACATTCTGCCACCTCTGATTATTAAAATAGGACCACTATCTTGGCACAACAAACTTTACCCAGAGGCCCCAGAACCTTGAGGCGTATGTCACTTGAGCCCCCTCACAGGAAAATGTTAGAGTGGATGTGGCTTGAGCCCTTCATTGACAATTTTAAGAGTCTTAGCGCACTCCTCCCTTCCCCCTCCACCCC